TGTAAAGCGCTTTGGGTGCCTTGAAAAGCGCTTTATAAATCCAATCCATTATTATTATTATTATTAAAGAGCGGAGAAAAGTCCCAGAAGGTTTCAATTTGATTGTATTTGCAACGATAGGGCAAAATGAGATAATCTCACAACGGTAAAGAGTCCTTCTAAGATGGTTATCACTCCTGAGTCAGTTTGATTGTAAAATTTTCAAGCATAATATTTTGAGCTGTCCAGCTGAACCAATCACCTTCTTCTTCTTTTTCTCTGTAGTAGTGTTCTTTATTTTAACAGGTCAGTTTTGAGATCTAATTTTAAGGGACACCGACACTTAAGAAAAGAATGTGCAAAAGGGGAAAGACAAATACATGTTCTAGTGTTTTTGTTGCTCACTTATAGGTTTGCAAAGTATTTAAATCCAGTTTTCAGTGTGAGTAAAACGTCCAACTAATGTTAGAAGTGTCCTGTGTCCTGTCCAGTTATTATATTTAAACGCAACAGCAGGGGCTCAGATGTAAGATGAAGTAGAGTCTTATAAATAAACATCATGCAGTGCTGCTAAGCAGGACCATCTGGCTTCTTCATATACAGTACAGTAATAATATCACCATCAGAGAAATTTGTAGGTTGCAAATTTATCGTGCGGGATCATTGGAAGAGCCAGTGGCATATGAGATGGTGTTTCTAATAGTGGAAAACACCCAAAGATGATGGCGACAGGATGTGCCAAACATGAATATAAACATCATCGCCACAATTGAGTCCAGATAAATTTTAGATTGTGGAATGATCTTACAACCTCAAAAAAGGGGAAAAAGATGTATTTCTTTAGCAAAATCCAATTTTAATCTTCAGTTTTCTTGGTAGGTGTTTCACATGAGTCAGTCTGGTATCGACTCTGAGTCCGACGTCTTTACACCAATCAAATTTTACATTTTAATACCATGAAGGGTTTGAGTATAGACCAAATTATGTTTTTTAGTGACCTCACCAATAACATGTGATTAGTTTTATCGTAGTTCAGAACACATTTACATTTGCTGAATTATTTCTTTAATGTTGCAGCAGGCTGTAGTTTTGCAGTCATCAGGATAAGGGAAGATCCAGTGGTATATAACGTAGTGTCATCTGCGTAAAAATGTGCATTAGTTTTTGAGTCAAAGATGTAATATAGTAAATAAAAGAGGGCCAAGAATACTTCCCTGTGGAACACCTGTACTAATGACATCCATCCAGAGTCTGAAATAGTTACAGAAGTTTTATTTACGTGAATAGCTGAGTACTTTTAAATAATACGGTAAATAAAAGAGGACCAAGAATAGGTCCCTGTGGAACACCTGTACTAATGCCAAAGGTAGATGACGTCGTTGGAGGTTGTCGGAGTGAGAAAAGTGAACAGAAACTCTGAGAAGAAACAGATCAGTGGTGACGGTCACTGCAGTCATGTTTCATTCAGTTTGCAGAACAGACTGGGATGAATTAGAGAGAGGTACGCGCTGCATGCTGACGCCCTGTGCTTAACTCGCAAAACCCCTTTTTACTTTCAGGGACTTAAAGTTGCAAAAAGCACCAATAATCCAATTCAAACATCATCTCACAGCAGTTGGTAACTGTCTTTTTTTTTTTCTCCCAGCATGCCCCAGGCGTGCCTCGGATCCTCGTGGGTAACCGTTTACATCTGGCTTTCAAGCGGCAAGTTCCCACCGAGCAGGCGAGGGCGTACGCCGAGAAGAATGGCATGACCTTCTTTGAAGTGAGCCCGCTGTGCAACTTCAACGTCATTGAGTCGTTCACGGAGTTGTCGCGCATCGTCCTCATGAGGCACGGCATGGAGAAGTTCTGGAGGCCCAACCGAGGTGGGTGGATGTGGAGCTGGGGTCGTCAAAGTGAGGAAAGATGGGTTGTTAAACTGCACTCTGCTGGGTTTTCACTACCGCCGAGAGCAAGAGAAATGAGTCTGTGAAGCACTGTGGAGCCCATCAGCAGACGGATGTCATATCGCCACACAAGCTCTCTCAAACTAATTAATTTGAGCTCCTTCCTGTCATCGCTCTGTCTCCTTCGTGTGTAATTACAGTATAAAGCAGTGGGAAGTGATGTCCTGCACGTCCTTTGAGACTTTATAGAGAAGAGTCGGGCTCAGTGTGCTGGAACTCTTTCAGACTGAGCTTCCTCCTGTGTGTCAGAGAAGCAGCTCGGGCTGTCTGAGCTGTGCTCCTCCAAGCAGCTTCATCTCCTGATTTTTTTCCTTTCTTTATTATCAGCTCTATTCAGAGGAATGTTCTGTTCCTGTCAGGTTAAAGCAGATGGAGTCACAGCATCACTAAGCTTACAGCAGCTCCTGTAACCTCAGCAAACTGCTGCTATGAGGAAGACAGACAAGAGTCACTCAAGTCCTTCACATAGAAATCAGTTCTCAGTTTATTTGAGGCAATAAGAGTCGAAAGAGGTTTAATTTCTTTAGTTTTGTTACAATCTGTTCATAAATTGGTAATAAAAAGCATTTATCTGAAACCTGACATTAACATTTGTCCCTTAACGGATGTTTGACGGTAACCTCGTCTCTGTCCCCTCCCTCTCTGCAGTCTTCAGCCTGCAGGACCTCTGCTGCAGAGCCATCGTGTCCTGCACGCCGGTCCACCTCATCGATAAGCTCCCGCTGCCCGTCGCGATCAAGTCCCACCTCAAGTCCTTCTCCATGGCCAACGGAATGAACGCCGTCATGATGCACGGACGCTCCTACTCGCTGGCCAACCCAGCCGGCGGCTCCAAAGGCAACAGCCTGAAGCGCTCCAAGTCTATCCGTCCGCCGCAGAGCCCGCCGCAGAACTGCACCCGCAGCAACTGTAAGATCTCCTAACAAGCGCCGCTCCCCGGATCGCAGCTCGGAGCGGGCGTGGGATCAGAGACAGATGTGCAGGGTGTCGTTAGCTGGAGGAAATCCCTGAACCCGAAGAGCAGGAACGATGGATAAAGGGATGCATGAGCGCTACCTCCCACCTACACGAGGTCATGTTTCAAGTGTTTAATGTTCTTTGGGGGAGGGGGAGGGCTTCGAATGGTGCCTCAGGAAATTTAGAGAGTGACTACAAACGTTTTGATCTTATTTACACTAAAACAAGAGGAAAAGACTCCAGAAACTCCTCCCTGCTGGAGAGGCTACTACATGAACAGAGATCCCTCGTTACTCTAGATGATGCACGCCGCTCAGTGACCGTGCATCGCCGCAGCCTTCACTTTCACACCTTTCCTGTTTCCTTTTTCTGTCCACACCTCCGTTATTTTTTGTTCTATGACTGATAAGCTAACCATCAAAACACTAGAAAAGATCAGTCGCTTTTTGTCAGCACACGTGTTTTAAAGTGATTTTATATTATAAATCACAGAGATTTAGAGGCCCCACCCCCCAAAAAACCCCTGGAGGACCCGGCCCGAGCCGAGTCCAGACTTGTTAGTGTGCCTTGAGCCCAAGTGAACGAGCATGCAGCAGATAGATCGCTAAAAGCACAACAGTAACCATGAATTAGAAAATCCTTCATCGTCTGATCTTCTGATCGACTCCATTTGTCGCTTAAATGCAGCCAAATGTGATGAATTATACTGAGGACTTTATTTTAAACACGCTTTTATATCCATTTTTTTTAAGGAAAATGTGTTTGTTGTTCGATATTTCACATGTGACAGTCAGCCAATCAAATGTACAAACACAAGCTGAACTCTTCAGGGTGGAAATGTGCTTGGGACTATTTTCAGTGGAGGAGTGATCCACATTTGGTGTTCTAGTGTGGAGTGTGGTTACGTGTCAGTGGTGCATCTGTTTTCTTTTTCACCCGAGAGCTTCAGCGACTTGATTTCTCCCCCCCCCCCCACTCCTTCCTGTCATCACGCTTTTCAGATTTCACGCCTCACCTGTCGTGTCACACTTTTCTAACTCAGCAGAGTCTCGTCTGCGCTCACCTGCTGCTTCTCTGACAACGCGCCGCCGATCCAGACTCGCCTTGAAGCGATGCTCCACCCAAACTCTCTGAATGAGCGCGTTGGTAACGGAGCAGCGACGCTGCTGCAGTCCATTAATCCACGTGTTGGTTTCACTGAAAACATCGACGTACGATAACTTCAGCAACATTATACATGTGTCTCCTCACACACGCTTGGAGTTTAAAACCGATTCGTTTGCATTTTTTAACAGAGCTTCAACATCTTTTTAAGTCCTGGAAGTTTCACATGGATATCTGTCAGCTGTGAGGGATCAGAAAATGCAGAATAACTGCAAATTTGGACCCTTTCCCATATAATTAGAGGGCCTGTAACTCTGAAGATATTCATGTGTGATGGTCAAATTTTGCTTGGCTTCATTAAATAAACTAAAGTTATTGAACATAAAAAATTCAGCTGATTCTGAGAGACCCAGAGACGAGGGACCGGGTGATTTCTTTCATTAAATAATGCTGCTTTTCTGGGTTTTTTATTGCATTTAAACAGATTATTTGTGGTTTTTCGCTCTTTTATGACTCAATCGTCAGCCGAAGCTCTAAATTGAGCACAAAGAACATAAAGCAGTTCATTAGATTGTTAGCAGAAGTGAAGCAAATATATGGCTGCAGTGTCACAGCTGATCACTGATTAATAAAAGCCAAATCACACTAACTTTGCTGACAGATGTTCCAGCTGTCGTTGAATTTCTCTGATTTTCACTGAAAAAGTTCAAATTGAATTAACTTCAAGTCAAAGAAGACAAAGAAAACCGGCCAATCGTGCAGATTTGAAAACTGCAACTGTTAATTAGGAGCCAGAAGTAGCACAGAGGAAATCTCCACGGTGTTTTTGTGCTCGGATCTGAACGCGTGGGCAGAGCGCCTCAGCACGCAGCTTTTCTTTGGCCTGAAATACAGTTTGAAGTTTTCCACGTGCACACGGTTTCCCAGCACGCCGCTGAAGCATCGGCGTGCTGTTTCTGATTAAAATGATCACGTCTGTCTGCTGCAGTGAAGCTGAAACGGTCCTGAAGCTCTGCTGCGACATAATTGGCTCACATGATTCTGTTTTGGTTGCTGATTGGTGATTTTGGTGGATCGGCGATCACTCGGGCTTCGCTGAGTGTCGCGCCCGCTCTTTGTGTAACATGTTTGGTTTTATTTTCACCGTTTTCTCGAGTTTAGCACAGCTGCTGCTCTTCATTGGGTGGCGAGTTCTTTAACCCCCTCAGTCCCCTCAGCTGTTAGCTGCGCTCCTGTGACTCTGCTGCACCTGCAGGCGTCCCGCACGTCTGTCTGCTGAGGCGTTTCCATACGTTTATTTCAGCTTCAGTCTTTGCCTGAGCTCTCGTGGGGAGGCAGCGACGCCCGAGACTTTCTGAAGCTGTTGATGATGTGACAGTTGAAGTTCTGATGAGGGCAAAACAGGAAACCAGTCACAGCGGCTGGTCAGGCTCGTGTTGAAGTGGAAACTTTCCAGTATTGATAGTAAACAGTGACCCGTGTTTATCGGAGCGCTCTGATGTCACTCGCTGTCTTTCATAACCAACTTCTCTTTGATGCAAACCAACTGTCAGAGCAAAATGTCGCACAGACCAGAACATTAATCGGGAGATGTTAAAAATATAAAGTCTTTCTCTCAGTGGAAGCATAAATAGTTTCACTTCATTTCAGGATGCTTAACTTCCTTTTTTATGCTGTTTGCAATTTTTATTCTGTGATTTTCATCACATTTCAGAGAAAATCAATAATGTGTTTCAGATAATCTGCGACCAAAATCAGTTTTCCGCCCACTCAGAGTCTCAATTTGAAGATAAAATCTCGCCTTCATTTCCGTCACAACCATCAGCTCCTGTCACGAGTGACAGAAACTACATTAGTTAATAATTTAGACCCAGAAAGAGTCGGAGTTAGAAGACGACCGCGGTGGCGTGGCCGCGTATCCCACACGTGACAGTTGGGATAACTCTTTAACTTTGCACGGCGTCATTAAATGAACCGTTCAGCAGAAATCAGCTGACTCTGAGGGGGTCAGGGGTCAGGTGGGAGCGAGGACTGAAGCACAGACGTGTGTTCAGGATGTCTGCGGCTGGTTTTCCTGATGTTTGAAATAAAAACAGCAGACTGCGTTTAAACGTGAGCTCTGGATAATTGAATTAAGCTGCGACCACGAGGATGGAATTAAATGACCGTCCGCCTCGTGTTTGTCCATGTTCCCGCCCTGCTCGTTCTGTCGGCGCGGCGTCGGCCTCCGCGTAGAAACGAGCCGGAACACGTGAAGTCTTCCGAGTCGCTGCGTTTCAAACTCCTCCGACTGGATCTCCCACGGGAACCAAAGCAGCAGGTCTTCTTCTCTCTCTGCCTCTGATCTGCACCGCCGCCTCCGCACGCTGTCCCATGATTCATAGCTGCTGAATAATAGATGCTCCTTTCATAGATCTCTGAAGAGCTTCATCTCCGTCTCTTTCTTCCTCTCTGCTCGCTGCGTGGTTTGTTTCCTCCTCAGTTTCTGCTTCTGCCTTCTTTTCCTTCGCCTTAAAATCCTGCAGATGATCGTTTTTTCTCTGCGCTTCGTTCCAGGTTTTGTGGTGTCTCTTCAGGCGGTCGGTGGGAGCGCCCTCTCCATCCGCTCGGTTTTGTTTTGTCTCCTTTCTCACCTTTAATGATGCCCGCCACTGAGTCAGATTATTCCTCCACCACACACATTAGCCAGCTGCACCCTCAGGACCAGCTAATGTTCTCTAAGAATAGCCAAACCATGAGATTAGTCTTGTTTACGGTGGTTTAATGTTCACTGATCTCAGCACAGTAAACAGCATCTGTGCTCAGCCTCTCACTGAAAGTGTTTTAGTGCAAAGCTTCTAAAAATAGAAGCTCGATCGGGCTGAATGCTGTTCGTCTAAAATAACGCACAAGTCACCTGAAAGGTCGAATAAAGAAGATTCTGAGTTTAAGTTCTCGATAAGCTGCAGAGATATGAGTCGCTGATTTACAGCTGACCTGTTCAGCTCGTTTCCAGCTCCCTCAGAGCAGCTTTGCATGATTCACAGTTCAGAATAACCCTTCTTTATCTGAAACCGAGCCTCTGTGCAGCCCCTCAGCTCATCCTCTGCCTGAGTAATTTAGCTCCTCCCCGTTTAAACCAGCTTTCTTCTGATTGGCTACCACGTGCAATCAGATGGTCTGAGATACAATATTAGGCATGTCCACTCTCTGTGACATCATTTTACCAACTTTAATGTGAATTAAGACGATTCATTTTAAATGTTTTTGTGTTTTCACTCCTAAAAATGTCGACATACCCCTCATTTCATGCAGGATTGTAAACTACACTTAAAGCACTCTGCATGTTTCTGTTATGATGCCAGACTTCTATATTAAACATGTCTATTGGTTCTAATAATGAGGCAACAATATGTAAATGTAGCCCCGTTAAGCCAAAGCTCAGCCTGTTTTTGCTCTGATTAAGGTTTAGAGAAGCAGATTTCTTCATCCCGTCCTTTCTGCAGACAGCACAGCTCACAGATACTTAAAACTGCCCCTCAGCAGTCGTCCAGACTTTAGCCAGTCAGAAGAAGGTTCAGGAAGGTGGGTGCCTTTAAGCAACGGGAGGAAAGTCAGCTTGTTTGACAGAAAGGCCGGGCGGCGATAAATAAGGTCATTCCTGATCTGCAAGTCATGCGGCGCTGCTCTGATGGAGTCCCAGGATAAGATAAGATACCTTTATTAAATTTCATGTTAAGGCTGCCGACCTTTTGCACGCAATGGAAAATACATGTAAATAATTGGAGGAACTTTTACGTTTGAAGCACAGCTGAATAAAAGGAAATCAGCAGTGATGATCACATGGTTTTTAGTAAATGTGCAGAAACTCTCGTAGTCACAACAACAGCAGGAAGTGAAGAAACTGTCCTGATGAGGAGCCTGTGAGCGTGGTTCAGCAGTTTTCTTTTCCTGCAGTTTTCACACATTTTAAACGTTACGGAAGTTCATGAATGGAAAAACACTCTCACCATCAGGTTTCATCTGTTTGCCAACATTTTTAGGTTTTTAGCTTCTCCCACTCTGAGGCTTTTATTTTCTCGACATCAGCACAACAAACCTTATGTGTTGTTGTGTTTGTTCATCCAACCACAGTTTTTTATTTGAATAACCACAAAAACGTTCACAGAGGATTGTGGGAATGTTTGTAACAATAAGAAGAAAAATGACCAGTAAAACACTACTCCTGTCGTTTTGGCTGAAGCTGCTGAGCGCGTGTGCGTGTGTGTGTGTGTGTGTGTGCGTGTGTGTGTATTTGTGAGAGTGAGAGAGAGGTAATGATCTTTAAACATCAAGCTGAACATTTTTCTTTCTTGTTTTTAAATTATTGATTGTACAGTTTAAGGCGATGTGTATGAAGATTTTTCACAATAAAAGTATTGAATGTTGACGTCAACCTGTCTCAGGATTTTGTTTATTTTACAGCCCAAAAGATAAACACCTCAAAAAAAAAAAAATTATAAATCATTTCATGCACATAAAACATGAGCACAGTCCGTGAATCAGTGTTTTATTAGAGAAGGCTGCCATCTAGTGGATGGTTGTGTTGCTTTAGTTTGAAAAGAAGTCCAACCGGAAGTATTTAGACTGCAGTTTACAAGAATAAAATCATTTAGATTACATTTATCTGTATGGTAAGATTGATTGATTGATTGATTGATTGATTGATTAAAAACAAAATTATGTTCAGAGGTGATTCAGAATTATTTCAGAATAAAGTAGATAAAACGTCTCAGTTTACTATATAAAAGTCTGTGGTCTAAAAAGCAAGTACAGTCTTCCAAAATCTAGTATTTACTTTTTAGATCTTAGATCTCACCCTGGGTCAACACACTGAATCAAATGATTAGTTCATTACCAGGCCTCTGGAGAACTTCAAGACATGTTGAGGAGCTAAGTTAGCCATTTAAATCAGCTGTGTTGGATCAAGGACACATCTAAAACCTGTAGGACACCGGCCCTCGAGGCCTGGAGTTCCCCCACGCCTGCATTAGAGAGAGAGGGAGGGAGCGACCAGCGTCGATTTGATCCCATCCCAGTCAAGAGGCACGCAATTGAAAACTCCTCAAATCACCTCCTGGTAAAACACTGCCACCTGGTTTCGCTTGCAGCTAAAACATGTAGAGGGTAATTACAAAAAGTACCTGTAAAGGAGAAAGATTACCTTTTAAAATAGGCTATATAACCTGATTTAAAGGGTAATCTTGGTTCCTACCTGCTGATGTTCATGTTAGGAATGCTTTGGAGTTTGTAAAGCTCTGATGTGTGTCAGAAAGAAGTGAGCTCCCTGTTCTGTCATTTTGGTGTTTATCATAAAAACAAACTTAATTTACCTATGCAAAATCCAACTAAAACCTGCTTTTATGCAATAATCTCAACAGCTATCAACTTGAAGCTCTTATTTTGAAAAGAAGCCCAGCTAATCGGAACTCTTCCTGTCAGACGAACATAGGCGCCATCTTGACAGTAGTCCTTTAGCACATTGTGCTGCTGTTTTCTCTTCAGAAATCAGCGTCTGAAAACAGAAAGCTCTTGTTTCCACGTCTCTGGCTCTTCGGGCTCTCGGTCATGTCCAGCATCCAGCTGCTCAGAGTGCTCGTTAACGAGCGGCTGGCCGCGGCCGCCGACGACATCTTGGAGGCGGTGAAGAAGACCATCGCGGGCTATGAGGAGGAGATCCTGCTGTCCAAACGGGAGATCCGCCGCCAGCGACGGATGCTGCAGAGAGAGTCCAGATCAGAGATGTACGCCAGCAAACACTCAGGTCTGTGAGCTGCCGGCGTGTCTTCAGCCCTTCAGGTTGTCCGCTAACAGGCCGCACTGGAAACAGGCCCATCTGGGGCAGCATGTCTGCCCAGTGGTACCCCATTCAAAAATCTGCAGATTTAACGTTTCCCATTTAAAAGCAAAAGTCCCAAACTCAATAAAAACACATTCCTTAATTTCAAAGTATGCTTTTGAATTCGGCATAAGAGTTATTGACAAAGCTGCCTCACACTCTGAGCAATAGTAACTTTAAATGACTGATTGAAAGGTGACCGTCAGGGCGCCGAACTTTTCAAAATAAATCGTTTCCGCTTCTGAATTCAAAGATGTTCACCTGACAAAGTCTGAAAGCCTATTTCTGACTAGCTTGACTTTCTTTGTTATTCAGTTAACTGCTTTAAGTTTAGATTGACAAACTTTCTTTGGCCTCATTTCAACAGTTCAAAAGACAGTGTTTGCTCATTAAATTCTCTCAAGCTATATATATATATTTGTTACCCAAGCATGACATTTAAGTCTGACAAGTGATTCACCAAGCTGCTCTACAGTCTGAGAAAAATGAACTTTTATGTGCTGGTTTTCATGAAGAGGCTGCTGCTGGGACACCAAACTCCACAGACACATTTAGTGAGACTATTTTATTTCTCCACATGCAAATATTACAGTGATCTGCACAAGTCTTGAGCAACGCCAATGCTCTTTGTATTGAAACATTTCCAAGCAGAGTCTGTGTAGGTTCTCAGTCAGGGAGTGAAGGTCTCACAGTGGTTTTACCTGAAACCTCTGCTAAAAATGACCCACGCTTTTGTCCACACCTTGACTCATATGATGAGGCACGTGATTAATAAAGAACACACTTAAGGGACAACTCCCACTAGGCCTTAAATACCTGGGCCTCTCCACCATTTGGTTTTAGAACTGAAGAAACTTCTTGCATGAGCGGTGAAACGTCTTCAACAAACTTAAACAAGTCCAGTCGCTTTCTATCCAAGCTCCTTAGAATGTGCAAGTGGTGTTCAGGAATAGCTCTGCAGGGTTCTTGAAGGACATTCAAAGATCTTCCTTGGATATTTCTGACTTTCGTTCTGTTTTCTGTCGGGATGATCCCACACTGTGTCAGTTATGTTGAGGTCCGGGCTCTGGGGAGGCCGATCCGTAACTGATCATAACTGTAGAGCTTCTTGAGGCAACTGTTGTTGTGATTTGGCGCCATATAAATAAAATTGAATTAAACTTAAAACTACCAAGTGTAACTTAACTTTAAGTTAGGGCTTAAAAGCTGAATATTAATACAAAGAGAGAGAACTTCAACAGTCAGACAGTCTCCTGTGAGGTGATCTTGGCAAGGATGGGAAGGAAGAAATCCCTTTTAACAGGAAGCGACCTGCAGCATTACCAGGATGAGGGGGGAGACAGCATAGAGAGGTGAAACACACTCTATAAGAGAGATCTAAACCTAAGCACTCATGTGGTCTAGTGTATTATTGTGAAGTTTCAAGACGATCCATAGAAAACTGGGTAATACGAAGTTTTTACTGATTTTCACATTTGGAGCAACTTTGACCAAATATTCACCAAAACTAAATCAGCTTGAGCCGTTATTGGTATCAACAATCACACAAAGTTAGAAAATGATATGTTGAAACTCTGGATGCTAGATTACTAACAGACAGACAAACAGACCTGATTACAGACTCCTCCCCTCCAGGGGGCGGGGACTATGCATAACAAATATATGAGGAAATCTCTTCATTCTTCCTGTCTGGAAGACAAAATATCAGTTGTCTGATTTTTATTTGTTTGTTTTAAATGTCAGTCTTGAAACATTGATGAACACTTTTGTTTATCTGTCAAATTTGCAGATCAGAATAAAATGTAGCCCTCAGTCAGTTATTTGTGGTGGTATCTCGAGTATAGTTTGTATCATGGCTCTTGATGACATCACAGAGACACAAAAAAGTTTTAACTTTTTTGTTTCTCTCTCTCTGCAGACCAGCCGCAGCTCGCGCTGACTGTCTGGGACGAGGACTTCCCTGAGGATCAGCAGCAGGCAGAGGAGCAGTGTGAGCTGGAGTGGAGCCCCGGTCAAGACTTGGAGAATGAAGAATCTCTACAGACGGACAAGAACCAGGACGAGGAGCAGCCACAGCACCCGCTTCAGGAGCTGAGGGAGGAGGAAGAGCAGGCGCTGCAAGAGGTTGAAGGGGAGGAGGATAGCGCCATCGGGTTCATCTTCAAGCATCAGCCCAGCTCTCCGAGCACTAAAGTAGGCGGTGGCGATCCTCTACCCAGCACGTCCACAAAACAGGAGCAGGCGCAGGAGGAAGTGACTGTGGAGGACAATGACGAGGCCTCCTCCAGCTCCGCGACTGTCAACAGCGATGACGAGTGGAGAGCCAGCGTGGATTCTCAGAGCGACGACAGCGACGGAAGCCACGAGTGGAAGCCGAAGAAGAAGAAGGGGCCTCGTGTACCGATGGCGCCGACACTGCACCTGGCCAAAAAACTCAAATCCAGAATCTGCTGTAAAGTGTGCGGGAAAGGCTTCCACGCCAACATCTCTTTGGTGAACCACATGGAGATTCACCCCAAGGACGTCTGTGGCGTGTGCGGGGAACATTTCGACAGCGAGGAGAGCTTTCACAGTCACGTGAAAACTCACGTGAAAGCGGAGATCTGCAGCGTCTGCGGGAAGTGTTTCGGGACCTCGAGCAACCTGGAGACGCACATGAGGGTCCACACGGGGGAGAAACCGTTCCTGTGCAGCGAGTGCGGGAAATCCTTCAACTGCCGTCACAACATGGTGCGACACATCAGGATACACACGGGGGAAAAACCGTACACCTGCACCATCTGTGGGAAATGCTTCAATGACTACTCGACTCTGAAGCGCCACCTGCTGGTTCATATCCGCAAGAAAACCCGCAATCCAGAAAACTCATCGGTTAACGATGGCGGCGACAAGGGGCTCAAGACATCGCAGTCAAAAAAGTCCCGGGCTATATGTGAAGTATGCGGGAAAATGTTCCACTCGGTGGTTTCTCTGGTGAATCACGCCAAAAGTCACGCCACAGATGTCTGCGGCGTTTGCGGGATGAATTTTGATTCTGAGGAAACCTTGAAAAGTCACCTGAAGACTCACAAAAGCGGGAAGGTCTGCGAAGTGTGCGGTAAGTGTTTCGACGGGCACGGAAACCTGGAGATGCACATGAGGATTCACACCGGGGAGAAACCGTTTCTGTGCAACGAGTGCGGGAAATCCTTCAACTGCAGACACAACATGTTGCGGCACATCAGGACGCACACGGGGGAGAAACCGTTTCTGTGCAACGTCTGCGGCCGAGGCTTCAGCGACCAAACGAGCCTGAAGCAGCACAGCAGCACGCACACGGGAGTCAAACCGTACCGCTGCGAGGTCTGCGGGAAAGGCTTCCACCGAAAGACGTATGTGCGACTGCACATGAAGAGCCACACGTCTGGGAAGTGACTGCTGTGGAAATAAAGATTTTGAAAATGAAGATTTTTTTGAATTTTATTGTGAAAAACTGACAGAATTTATATCGTCTTCATGCATCATTGGTCCTGAATATAACGTTGGAAGGAAAATATCCAAAGGTGGCTTATTGTTCC